GAGCCAAGGTGGGTGGGCAGGGAGCAGCAGGGTCTGAGAACCACGGTCCTAAGGCTCTGAGGGAACACCTGTCAATCACAGAACTTGACCTTGGGGTCTGGGCACAATGGGTCTGGAAGGTGTTCAAGGTTCAAAGTGGCAGCAACTCCATGACTCAGAGCACAGGACGCAGCTTGCAGTGCACCTGCTGTCCTGCGTTCTCTGAATTGTCCTCGACCAACCTCGCCACTCGGCCTCGTCTCATTTCTAGTAAAAAGGCCACAAAGAGAGAATGCAGCAAGGAAGCACATCTCTAGTTTGAAGCATCACTTGGGTTCCAATTTTGAGTGGGCTACACAAGTTGGTGCACTTTGTTGGAAAAGGGGAGCTCTGTGTCGTTTGTCCCTCAGTAATTGTTCAACAGGCCGAAGAGGAGGAGGAAGGGCGTGTCTGGCCCTCCTTCTTACAGGCCTTCGCAGGCGGCCCTGGGCTGCAACCTTCCAGAGGCCTCTGTGCACCATGGAGCTGGGATGCCAAGCTGTGTGCAAGTGTGAGGCAGGGGGAGCAGGAGGGAGGAAGGAGAGGGAGGGGAGGGAGGTTGGTGCACAGGGTTTCTCTTTTTGGGCGCCTTTCTGTGGCACTGCTCCTCTCCTAGCTGGGCCACGTCTGCCCTGAGCCACTGGGGTACACAACCAGGTGTGAGGAGGTGTGCAGGCAGGCGGAGGCCTCCCCTGGGATGAGGAGAGAGCGCACAGAGGGCGGGCATTCTGGCTGGGAAATTCCCTTGCAGCCTGCAGTGCTCCTTCCCTCCTCCAGGTGCCACAAATGTTTACCAAATGGCTGCCAGTATGAAAAGGGGAGGGACAGGCAGGGGGTGTGACAATGAGATGACTCTAGGAGGCACTGAGAGCTTTTCTACTGTAGCACTAAGGCTGGAACCTTTTGGAGGGATAGGAATTTGGCCTGTTCAGCTGCTCCCTTCCTCTAACCTTTCAAAGCAGATCCAAAGAGTGGCCTGTCTGGGAAGGTGCCACAACCATCAAAGCAGAGGACAGCTCCCTGTTCAGGAAGAAACCTCATAGCCACTCACCACAGAACCTCAAAAAGTGCTGCCAGCTTTAGAAGCTGACATTGAGAGCTAACATCTGCCCAGGGAACCTACTGGGCAAATATTCCTGCTGGGCTCCAAGGCCTCCCCTTGGCATTGCCAAGGTCAAATCCATCTTCTCCCAGGAGCCTTCTGCAGCCTGTTCCATCCCACTTTCCTGACCCCATCTCACTTCCACTTTAGCCAGGCTGATCCGCAGTTTCGAATCCAGAGTAATTCATTCTGGAGAGGTCAATGTGGTGGTTTCCACACCGAGTAGCCAGATGGCTCATTAATTCTGGCCCAGGGAGGGAGAGCTGGGGATGATCAGGGAGGCAGAAGAGGGGCTGCTTCCTTTGGGGCTGAGAGGAAGTTAACTGAGAGGCAGGAAAGATGGAGTCCGGTTAACCAAATGCAAGTCTTCCAGCTACAGGTCACTAAGTAGAGACGGACTCACAGGAGGTGCTATACCAGGAAGAGCACTTAACAAGCTCATCCTCTGGTTCCTTGGGCCGATGGAAGAGACACACAGCTGGGATCCTGGTTGGCTGGCCTTACGGAGAAAGCTCTCGCAGCACGAGGTTTCATCCTCAGGGGCACTGGGTCTCTGGGGACGAAGCCGAGCGCTCCAAACACAAGCGTCAGCCTCATTTCCCCAGTCCCTCGTTCTTTTGTCCAAACCCAGGCCTTCTAAGAAAAAAGAGGGTTAAGAGGGAAGAAACTGACCCTGGAGCAGGCCAAGGTCACTGGGCCGATGAATGAATTAATGATCTTGAATGTCTGAAGTTGGTAGAAGAGAAAGGACAGAAAGATACTAAGATTTCCTATAAATACTTTCATTTGCCTAGTATTTTATTATTAATAAGAAGCTTTCATAAACTTCCTCTTATTTGATATTCACAGCCTTGGCAAAGTACTGCTGTCCTGATCTTATGAAACAGGAAATGGATCCAGCCGTCCTCCGTAGCAGTAGCATTAGAGGTGGAACCAGGGCTTGGATCTGGAACTTGTGACATTTACCCAGGACCTTCAATTTCAGAAAGAAAAGGCCAGGCCAACCTTGCCACATATACCCACAAAGCAGATCACCACCATCTTATAAGAAACACAGAACCAAGCACCTTCCTTGCCCTGCGACTCTTAGGCGTGGGGGTGGCCGAGCAACACACTGAAATGATGGGAACCACAGGTAGCTTCTGCTGCCTGAGCCTCTTTGGAAAGACTGACCCCTGCCTATTCTGCCCAGGCAGCTCCAAAGACAGTACTGAAGAGAAAAATGTCAACAAGTTAAAACTGGGGAGATTGACATTTCCTTTCTCTGCTCTGCCTACCCACCTGAATGGGTCCATTGGCCATTCTACTTTGGACCTTCTCAAAACTTTAGCTTCTCCCAAATTCACTCAGAGTGGACTCTTAGGTTTTTGTTTTAAAAAATCTTGAATGGACCCCAAACTTCCATGATTACTTGTTAACCAGATGTTCTCTTCTTTTCTCTCTCTCTTTTTTAAAAAATATATTTTATTGATTTTTTTACAGAGAGGAAGGGAGAGAGATAGAGAGTTAGAAACATCGATGGGAGAGAAACATCGATCAGCCGCCTCCTGCACATCTCCTACTGGGGATGTGCCCGCAACCCAGGTACATGCCCTTGACCGGAATTGAACCTGGGACCTTTCAGTCCTCAGGCTGATGCTCTATCCACTGAGCCAAACCGGTTTCGGCTCCTCTTTTCTCTTTTTAAAAAGAAATATATTTTTATTGATTTCAGAGAGGAAGGGAGAGGGAGAGAGAGAGAGAAACATCAATGATGAGAAAGAATCATTGATTGGCTGCCTCCGGTGCGCACCCTACTGGGGATCGAGCCCACAACCCGGGCATGTGCCCTGACCAGGAATCGAACCATAACCTGGTTCATAGGTTGACTGAGCCATGCCAGCCAGCTGAATTGTTAAGGTCCATGCAACTCTGCACACCATGGTTCCTCTCTCCCAGGTAGGACATTCAGGTTCTATGGGAGATAGGTGAGGAACAGGCCAGGCTGGCGGAGACTCTTTCCTGATCAACACATTTCCACTAGTTTCCCCGGCTGCTCATCAGACCTGGCTATACCTATAGGCCAAGTGGACAAACTCATAGCCTATCTGCCTGTCAGAGTCATGTGCACCCTTCAGTCCCGGCCCAAGCCACTTCCTCCACAAACAGGTCCTTGATTCTTTCTGCAGCTCTTCCTTTGCTCTTTCATTGCTATTTAATTAGGTGTCTTTCCTACGGTTCTTCTCTAATTCTATCGTGCTAATTAATTATGATCATCATTCATTTTCCCTAATAGATCAGAAACTCCTTAGAGACAGATACTATGTAGAATTCATCTCTGTGCTTCCCCCTCCACTCTCATGTCTGGCCAGGGGCTTAGCTCTGCATGTAGTAGGAGTTCAATAGATAGTTGTTAAAATGGAATTTGCCTTAGTTTCTTAAAAAACAGGGTGTATGTGAAGTGGATAAAATGGTCCCCGCACGAAAGACAGTCCCACTCCTCAAAGGTCCTATGTCAAACCTTACAGAATATGGTACCCCTCTCCCTCCAGCCACACCACCAGGGTCACTGCAGCCAGATCAGCCAGCACGAGATATAAAGAAGGCACAACCAGACCGGCAAAGGCAAGGGTTCTGAGTTTGGTTATATAAAGAGGTTAACATTACATAAGCAAAAGCAAGGGGCTGGTGCTCTTATATGTCCGCAAGGAAAACCAAGGAAGGATTTTGTGAGGGAGGGGTGGTGAAGAGGCAGTGAAGGAAAAAGAAAGGGAGTTTCCTGCCAAGAACAAGGACACAAAGGGGGATAGCCAAGACCTGAATGGATTCCCCACCAGGACAAGAGAACGAGACACCACCCATTCCTTGTATGGGGACACACAGACACTCCTGAGGGGAAAGGTCATTATGGTCTCAGAGGGGCCTAGGGCCCTGCTTCTGCCTCAAGGTCAGCTTATGCCCCAAGGGCTGTGGGAGCAGAGGGAGGGAAGTTGGAAGAGTACTAGCATGAAAGTCAGATAAAGCCATGAGCAGTAGGGGTGGTGGGAGATTCCATCCAGAAAGTACCTGTGGGAAAGTCTTATCCGTCTTACAAGGCAGAAGATGGGAACCAGCAATGAGGGAGGGAAACAAGTCAGATTTGGGCCCATCACTGGTAGAGCAGGTGAAACAGTCCACCCCTACACCACCCCATAAAACTCAAGCTCTTTCACTGGCCAAGGACAGAGGTTCAGAATATAGCTCCCCTGGGCCAGGCTCCAGGGAGGCAGTGTGCACAGGGGTTGTTGGGGGGGGGGGGGGGGCAGAGTGGTAAGGGGAAGGAATCTTAAGAATCAGAACTCAGCCAGCAAGGGGAGGAAATCTATTCTGAACCTGCTAAGTAAAAATCTAATTTAATTCCAGTTTCAGGATAAGAGGTTTAGTCCAGAAAATCCTCCTTTCCGAGGCAGTGTGGGAGGATGTTATCTGTTCTCAATTTTCTATCAAATCGCTCTTTCCCTTCGGGACCACAGAGGGGATGCGGTAGTTCCTCCATCCAGGCCCAGGCAGGAGACTGCGGTCCATACGGAGGCCCCCCCACACCTCTGCCCGGCTGTCCATCCCCTCGGACACTTCTTTGCCCAGACTTTCTCTTACTTCTGACTGTGGCCACAGGTCATCCAAGACACAGGCAGAGGGCAGGGCCCACTGGCACCCTCTCCCGCCTGGGAGGAAGTGCAGGACACGTGGAACAGAGGCTGCCTGAGCCTGTGCTCTCTCCCCAGGAGGCCCAGCCTCTCTGAGCCACGCAACCACGTCTCCATCACCGCCCTGCCAGGGCTCACGTCAACGCACACAGAGGATTCACCACAGACAAGGAGGCGAGTGAACCTCCCCTACCCCCCATAGCCCCAAACGGTACCTGCCAAGGCCTTGATCCGGGACCTCTCAAAGAGCCTGGCCGAGCTGTTGTCATTATCCAGCTCATCATCCGGGGCATCCCAGCGGGCATTGATCCGGCTGTACGGTGGCTGGTTGGCTACGTTTTCAAACTCCGTGGCTGATGTCATGTCAGCAGGCTCTCAGCAGCTACACCTGCCTCAGTCTTCATGGAAGAGTCCCTGGGGGGGACAACAACACAGTCAGGGGCTAGCTCTCACCCCCTTGGACTTTTTCTCAGGGGAAACTTATTTGGAGCATCCAACAGGAGTAGATCCTTGTGGGAGCAGCACGCAGTGCCATCTGCCTGGCCATGCTTCCTACCCGGGTCTCTGGCTCCTTGGATATAAAATATTGCAGCAGCAGCAGCAGCAACAGTAACAGCGGCAGTGCCGGCGGGGACAGAGAGCTGATGCAGCAAGGGTCAGGATGGCCAGCAGGTGGAGACATCAGTCGCAGCAAGCCCGCTTCCTCCAAACCCACCGCCACTGCTGCGGAGCCTGAGGCTAGCGGGACAGGCTGGGCCTGGGCCAGGACCCAGCCTGGGGTGGGGGAAGAGGAGAAGAGGGGAGAAGCTGGAGGTTGCCTGAAGCTGACTCAAACATGAACCAGTGGGAAGAGGGATGAATGTGAGCTTCTGGATGCCATTGGTGTCAGCAGCCCTGGCAGCTGTGCTGGGGGAGGTTTACTCCTCCCAGAGGCTGCCCAAGAGTTCTTTCCCAGCTGCAAATATTCAGAAAGCTGAGCTCTGGTTTTGCCTTCTCTGAAGTGCAACCAGGTGCTCAGACAAGGTCTCCTGTTGAATCCCAGGACAGAACAAGGAGCCCATATGAGCCTGCTGTTCTATCAAAGCCATCAGCATGATGGTGGGGTGGTGGTGAGGGGATCCCATGGACAATGGAGCTGTGTGTGTTCATCTATGCAATCAGCATGGTCATCAGGAGCCCTGGGTATTCATTCATTCATTCATTCATTCATTCATTCATTCATGAATTCAAATATGTACCAAATATGAGGTGGCAGGCACTATACTAGACAATTATGAGCAAGACAGAAAGGGCCCTGTCCTCATGGACCTTATATTCAGGCAGCAAGACAGATGATTAAATAAGCAATTACAATGAGTGTGATGGGTGCCAGCCACCATTGGGAAAGAACGGGAAAGGTGGGGGACTCGTGGAAGCACTGGGTGTCAGGGGAGGAGAAGTTTAAGCTGATTCCTAAAGGAAGCTTGGAGGCACTAGTGAAGGGGTATATGGAAAGGGACGAGTCTCAACAAAGGGAAGAAGGAGCAGGAGCAGTTCTGAAAGTGAGGAAGAACATGGCAAAATTGGAAGCCGTGCCATGTAACTAGAGGGTGAGGGCCGGGTCAGGGAGGAAAGTGGGACAGGAAGCTAGAGGCACTAGGCTAGGTCCTGAATGTCTGAGGCCTTTGGAAAATGATTAGCTTTCCTTTAGCCTTAATTTCCTCCCCTGTACTTGCTATTCGGTCATCTCCCCAGGGACCTTAAAGGACTCCAAGGTCAAGTCTGTAAGAGAGGACAAGGAGCCCAGAGCCTTCGAGTCCAAGAGAGCAAAGGGAGGCGGGTGGGGAGGCTGCAAGGCGGACAGATGACACGTGTCTACAACTAGTGAGCTGTCAGGTAAACCACTCCCTCCACGAATATATGCACCACACAAATACACACACATGCACTCATATTACAAACACAGACACACTCTCCAACATAGACACTCACCCACCCAAGCAGGCACGCATTTGAAGAAGAAGTGAAGCAAGCTCACCAATCCAATCATAACTGCAGGGCTAGAACCCTTGTTTTCCTGACAGATTCACTTCATAGCCTTTTTCTCACTGTGATTAATCAATCCCACCACATCCCTTTGAGGTGAGACATGAGCCAGAATTATCCACTCTAATTGCACAAGGGAGGAAACCACGCCTACTGCAATGAGGCCTCCCCAAGGTCATCTAGGGAATGACTGCCGTGGCTGGGACCACAGGTCAAGCTGCAGCCAGTTCACCCCCTCGGCCAGGCGGATCCTAAGGAAACAAGTAGGAAAAGAACATGGTACATGGGGACAGAGGGCATGCCCCAGCGTCCAGGACTTGACAAGGTGTTTGCTACTCAGGGAAGGGAAGGTGGAAGGTGGAAAAGCCAGTCATTACCCCAAACACACATGCCCTACGATGCCAGGCCTGTATCCAAGGAAAACCTACCATCTTCTTCAGATGCACACGCTACTTCCACGGCTGGCATTTCCCACCCAACTGGCTGGGCCAAGGGAGTTGGGAAGGATTCCCAACTCCACATGCCTTTCCCCACTTTCCTGCAGGGGCACTATAGCTGGCTCTGAGCGGGAGAGGGACTGACAGGCCCAGGGACCCAGTACCGAGAAGGCTGAGCTGCCAGATGCAAGAGGCAAGGTGAGATCAGATCCTGCGTGCAGGAGGTAACCGGACCCTGGCTCTCCTTGTCTTGGGCTATTTTTAAGAGTGGCCACGAGAGGCCCAGGCCACGGGGATGGGGGAGTGAGATTACCTTCGCCGTGGCTCCGTAAATAAGTCTGCCCCAGAAAGATGAGCCTGAGCAGGCAGCCCAGCGGCCCAGCATTCGAGACAAGATTGATGGCCCCGGTGCAGAAGAGCAGCCACTAGACAGCAATTCATCCTGCTTAAAATCGCCATGCCTCCTGCGACTGCGGCTCAGGGAAGGCAGCAGCAGGCAACGCTCTGCCCGGAACGTGAAAAAACACACGTGTGTCTAAATATATACGCCTAGAGTTTTCTTTCTTTGCTTTCGTATTTTCTAGGGTCAGGTCCCTGAAGACAAACACCAAGGAAAGAAGATTCAGAAACTAAAGGGAGGCCCTCTTCTTCCTGCACCCCACCCCCCACCCCCCACCCCGCTGTACCCACCCCAGTGGTCTGCCCAGATGGCATTCCATCAGAGCCAAGAAGGTGTGTGTGTGTGTGGCGGGGGGAGGGGGGGCATAGTGGCAACGGGAGAATCTTGGAGAATTTACGTGTGAGCAGCAGAAAATAAGAAAATAAAAAAACTACAGATGGTTATTCTAGAAAACCAAACCAAAACCATAGACACACACACACACACACACACACACACACACACACACACACCCCAACCACAAAACCTCGATGCCTGAAACCAAATTTAACCCAGTGTCACTCATGTCTATTTCCATTACTATCAAAATGTTCCTCTGAAGGCCTCGCAATAAAGAAGCCATCAGGATGGGAAAGAATAGCATATGTTGGGGGCTCATAGTGGGGATAACTAACCCAACGGGGAGTCATGGAAATGACATCTAAATTGATATCTGAGGGGAACATAGAGACGAGCTGAGCTGGTCACGTCTGGAAGGCTGTCAGTCATCTGGGGATCTAGAGTGGCCCTCTGAGTATGAAGGGCAGCAAGCACATGGCTAACAGTAGACCCCACGCTGTACCTCACTCCCCTGCCATGAAACCCAGGAAAAAAAGGCCTAAGGAGTAGTTCCTTGTTCAATCACTTCCCAATTCACCCCCAAGCTTCCAAGAAGTCCTCATAACCTGTCAGTATCTGGTCAGCATCTGGCCTGTGTCCACGAAAGCCCACCTTTCCCGCCCGTCTACCTGCCTGTCTAGCAGCTGGGCAAGCCTGTCTCTAAATGCAGAGTCCCTCACCCGGTGAGCTCTGCCAGCCTGGTCCCTGGTTATATCCTGGGCAGGATGGGTCCCTAGAAGACTTGCCCACAGCTCAGTACTGAAAAGCTCATCTGACTGCACGGGGCACTCACTGGCAGAAGGAGCGCCTGCTTGGTTAGATTTCACAACATCACTGACGAAACCCACAGCTCCACCCTTCCCACGTGTGCCCAGGAACCCATCCGCTTCTGAGATCAGGTGTTAGGCCTCAGAATCTCAACCTCCTGTGCTATGCCCAGTTAATCCCCGGGCGATTGGAACCCAAGAAGCGGCTGCAGTGGCAGCTGCTCTCAGCCGGCAGGGTGCTGCCGCAGCCCTAGCTAGAACTCATCTCGGCCCTCCCCACAGTGCTGAGCACAAGGGGATGGATATGCTTCTCCTCCCTGTCCCATCTCCTCTTCTCTGGGCCACACAAATGTGTGAAGCAACAAAGCCCAGTCTACTTCAGGCGTGGGAAACGGGGCGGCGGGGGAGGGGGTGTTGAAGGGGGAGGGATACAGGGTGATGCCGTTCTGCCTTATCAGGGTCACAGGTGGAGGCTGTTGCAATAGCTTGGACACCATCTTCCTTAAATAGAGAATTTAGACCCATTCTACCTGTGTTTTCTCTCTCGCTGTGAGGTCTGACCCCTTACCTGCTGTCTATTTTGTACTGCCCCCAAACCTGCTTTTTAAATATATTTTGGTACTATGACAACCCAGGTCAGGAGATTAAACCCTGAAGTTTCTTCAGTAACTTTTCTGCCAATGCCTTTGTAATGCACATTCACAGACACCTCAAATAGTCAAATATATAAGCACTCACTAAAACGGCATGAGAGAATGAAACAATGAATACTGAATAAATAAATAAAACCAGCAAGAGAGCCAGTGAGATGCCCAGTAGATTTCCAGAGTACTCTAAACCTACCTCCAGCCTTACCCTCCTCCCTACCCCCAAGCTCTAGTCTGGCACCTCCCTCCGTCTACCAGACATCTCTACCTAGAGATTACAGCTCAGTCTCAATATGGCTAAGACTGAGCACACGGCTCCCAGGACGGGAGAATAAGGGGGTTTCAAGACCATGGGTGACAGAGAGGCCAGGTAAGCACACCCCCTGTGGGTGACCTTTCCAGCAGATGGACATTACCTCCAGTGCCTGGACCAAGCCGCTTCCCCTCCCTCCCAGAGCACACTCTGCTTTTCTACTCCGTAGTTCCCATCCGACCTGCCTGGCTCCCAGGTCACCAGTGGCAGGATGTAGTTTGGGTTTCTTAAAGTCTCAAGATTCCTATCCACGGCTGCCACCATGAAGGATCCCCCTGCATTTGCAAGGTCCTGGTCATCCTAGCTCACTGCCATTTGGTAAGGCCTTACCCAGACCCTTCTGCTCCAGTTTCTGTCACCAGGCAGGGACTTCAGGCACACATGTCACAACTTGTCCCCTCCTCATGGAACTGGCTCTGGTTATGCTGCAGCTGCTGGGATGGGGAT